AGGCTAGCTATCAGTTTCCCCAGTGGTAACCATAGACCTCAGAGAAATGTATTGATCTTCTAGGAGGCAAACCCTGGGAACCAGCCATTCCTGCCACTTAGGCTTCAGGCAGGATAGGTGTGCAGCTGCTGCAGGTAAGAGAGATTTGCAACAAAGAGCACTGGCATGGATATGAGGTTCTGAATTTGACCTGCCTTCCTCTCTGTCTCAGAACAGTTAAAAACCCAGGTAAATATTTGTATGCTTCACCTTAGACCTCTGCTAACCTTTCACCACTCTGTCTCAAGCATATCTGTTTATCTTACCCTGAGTAACGTAAAGATCTCTTATCTAAGCAACAACTGCCTCCCAGCATTAAGGCTTACCCATCAGCTGCCTCCTTGACCTGATGTGCACCCAAAATGTTTGTGGTCATCCCCAACCACTGTAGACTCAGAGCTTATACTGGGCATGCAGATGCATGCAGGAGCCCAGCATCTGTGAGAAATCCTGCCCAGTACTTCTGAGTCTTCCAAGGCTGGGTGTGATTTGTGCAGATCACACAATATAATTTTATTTTTTTTCCACTGCGGCCAACAGGACTAACCAATGGTCCAATGTGACCAATCTTCAGGCAGGGAAATAGTACTCAAAACTCGAGTCAGGTCAGAATCTAGCTCCATATAATTACTACATAGCAAAAATAAGATCATTCCTAAAGCAATAGTAAAGTCACTTGAATTTTTTTCAATATAAGCCCCAATATTCCATATTACTTATTAGTACACAGTGTCAGCAGTTGACATAATACTTCCCCCAAAGGACTAGGCAACTCAGAAACATTCCAATCAGAAATAACCCACAAAAAGGAACAAAAAAGGACAACTATGAGAAATAGTTTTCTCATGAAATGTTTGAATCCAGAACAAAACAGGAATTGAAACAGAGCAGGATGCTGTCCCTGCCTGGCACTACAGGAAAGTGCTGATTTAATGTTGATCTTTACTCTCAGAACAAGAAAGCACAAATGCTCGTCAGAGACTGAGAAACCAAAGGAAATACCAAGATGAAAGCGTGCAGCAAAGATGCATGCCCTTCGGTATCATATAGATGAAAACACTAAGATTGATGGGAAGACACTTCACTGGCAACTGAAGTAAGCCTAAGAGGGGAAGGGGAGAAACCCAAAAAGAAGTGCAGATGCTACCGATGGCTTGAAACCTCAGGTAATTTCCTACAGATTCACTGAAGTCAAAAGTTACAAATGAAAGATCTACAGGCCCACCTAGTCCCACTTAAATCACCTGTTAGACTACAGACTATTAGAGACCAGGGTGGTATTGGCATGTAATTACCGACAGAACCTGCCTGTTTAAGCAAGGTGAGATCAAAGTCACTTAAAAAAAATAATCAATCAACATTTTCACCAAAAGGTTTGTAATTATGAGCTTGAAACCAAAATACTCAGGCAAAAATATCAGCAGTCATCTATGCTACCTAGCTCTGGATAACATAGCTCTATTCAGCACAGTACATTTTATAGGGATCAGTCCAGTCTGATTTCAAACACTGTAGACCATGAACAGCACATTCTACAGAACACAGTCTCACAGCTACTCTGCATTAGCAAGGTTTGTCCAAAACCCCTCTCAAAAGCTGCCCTCCCGAGTACCAGCCCACTAACCAACCTAAACTACTCTTCTCCCTCTATCCTTGCAGTTTGCAAGTATTCACTGCTAGCTTTCCTCTCCCCTTGCCAAGACTTTTCCCACCCAGCTTTAACTTTGTTTTCCACGCTGAACTCTTTAGCCTCCCATTGCCACCATCTGAGTGTGCAGGCTTGAAACTTACGGTGCTCGGTCGTGGTTCAACCCGTTCTGTCTTTGTGCATTGATTGGAGGTAGGACAGGTTTGCTATTAATCTCAAGCCCTCTCCGCAAAGTCTCCCTGATTTGCTCTGTGTCTGCAAAGAGAAATGTTTTTTAACATGATTTAGAGTTCCCAGAAACATCACTGAGATATCAGGTGTGTTTCATCTACTCTTCCCTTTCAAAAAGAAATTAAGAGATGCTAAGGGTTAATTCTTAACTGCACTTCCTTAGGAGTTATTTTACTTTATAAAGTCAGCTTGAATTCTCTTGGTCTGGGCTGCAATGTTATCTCAGGCAAGGAGAACTGGAACCTTTTGTACTGAGCCATCCTGATGAGGAAGTTCTGAGTAGTTTTGTAAATTTTCAAAAATGAGGTGTTTGCTGTTTCTGTAGCTCTTACAGAACCTCCTGACACTTCCAAGTCTTTGCACTGGAAATAATCTTTCCCATTAGGCATAACAGGAATTTTTTTCCTTTACCAAATGAGTGCATGAAGGTTCCCAAGTTTTTGCACTTGGCTGTTGCTTAATTTACAACAAGATTCACAAAAGAAGGGAATTCCAGGCAGGGCAACCTTTAGCCTCGAGCTCACACCTGAAAATCAGCTGCAAATTGTGCACTTCATATGCAGTCTTTTTACTTCTCCATTTTCTTAAAATGTCTACTGGCCACATATTTTTAATAGAAAGCTTTCCCACCTTTTCCTTAGAAGTTTCCTCATCTTTTTTTGAGAAATGTGAGAAACAGGTAGAGAAAAAAATATCCAAATTATTTCAAAATCTTTAGAAGGACGTACAAATTTCACCATGAATACCTGCCTTGAGCTTTCCATTTTCAAAGCTGAGGGAAAATAGCCTTTTTAGATCCAGAGCACTTCAAAATACTTGCACAGAAGCCAGAAGAAACTCTATATGTACTTAAATAATTCTTACCACTGATTTAAGAACAAGATGCCATTCCTATGGAAACCATTGTTAATTCCAGGAATTCTCAAGCCCCCAAATTTTACATTGCTTCACCCATTTGAAAGGTAACATGCATAATTTCAAGCCTGTGGAGGCTATGAGATCTGTTCCCTGAGAGGGCATTTCACTGCCCAGGGGAACTCCACTGTGCTTTATTTCTTCTTTCCAGAGTTCTATATTTGCAAGAATCACTTGCATTCAGCTGCAGCAATGTGTAGTGCCAGTCCAACTTGCCATCCAAGAAGTGACAATGTTAATAAGGAAACAGCTTCGGAAAATACAACTGCTTCACCTTGCAGGTGTTTACAGTCCTGGTTTTACCAACTGCTCAGTTTAACTGAGCAGGTTCTGATTACAATTTGCCTAAAACCTGAAAGAAACATTTAGGCAAAACAATGCCAAGAGCTCTCTTCCTCTCTCCTGCCTTCCTCAAAGTTCATTTCACTCCTCCGAGACACACTGAGCCTTCCAATAACTGTGGTGCTTGTTATGACCTCGAAGATGCTGCATGACTCAGCGCACTGCCCAGACCCATCAGGAAACAAGCTGTAAGGTCACGACAGTGATTTGGCCCAGGACCCCTTACCTTTCCCAGAGAGCCGCCGTGGCTGGGTCCCAATGCAAATGCTCCTGCTGTCTTCATCATCCTCTGGTGGCCGGCTGAGGTCATCCCAGGCACATTTGGCGCTCACTCCACTCAGGTTTGAGCCATCTGTCTCAATCCCTTTGTCGACTCTCTCCTGCTTGAAAAGATCCAAAACCCCAAGACTTTTTTGGGTGTGGTTTGAACCCAAGCTGGAACCCACCAAGGTGCAGCCCGGTCTTCAGCAGCTCCTGCAGATCCCCCTTTGCGGCCGTTTCCGCTCTCTAGCCCCTGTGCACACTGAGCCAAATCAGGGAGCTGGTCTGAACAAACCTTTTCCATAGCAGGTTGAGCTGACCTCCTGCCCCTTCCCCACTGCTTCATTACATGGCTGTGGCAGGCACAAAGGAGGTAAAGACAGAGATGGAAGTGAATGGCATAGGGTGTGCAGAGTCGCCTCTTTCAGTGTTAGCTCTGACTTACACCAACTCGAAGTATTTAAGACACTACATTACACTCTCCTGTATGAAGCACAGCTTGGCAGTCAATCTATTACATGTCAATAATAACAAACTCCTGAATAACTAAAGTCCAGTTCTCTTTCCAACCTTACCAAGGAGTCCTACAATGAAAACAGCTCACAGAGAGACACATCATTCACAAGGGCTCTTCATTTGCAAACTGTCCAGCCAACCACTGCTTTGCAGTGTGCTGAGGTGTTCCATAAAGGACAAATATGCAAGTTTGGACATGCAAGGAGACACAGGTCTGTTCCCAATGTCAAAGCTTTTGCATAGCTTTTTCTACTGTCAAATAAACAAACTCCGTCCCTTGCAAGTTGTGCTTTCTGAGCACATAACCACCGTTTGGGTATCGGAAGGTGTCTCGCACCAGCCATGAGCAGCTAGATGCTCTCAGACACCAGACTTTTTCTCAAGGACATGTGCATCTGTTGCCAGCAAGACTGCCCTAAGCTACAGTCAGAAGTTCCAGAGAACACCACCTGCTCGGACACTGGCATCGGTCTGAATTTGCACCTGTGACCCACAAGGGGGTAATGTTGAGCTGAACAAACTCGGGGCTGAGCTGCACTGAGGAAGGGCTCTTGCCTGGCACCCAACCAACCAGGCTCGTTTCTCCCTTTTTTGAAGGGGTGTCGCTTCTGCTACCACTCAGTGACACTTGCAAGATCTCCATCTCACTGAATACATCTGGGTCACCTCAAAACAGGCAACGAGTCCCAGGGAACTCTGAGGATTTGAGGAAAGAGCAGAGTTGTTACGCACAATGAAAATGCATCTCTCCACTTTGTGTTTGACCTCACCACTGGAGATGAGACACTGTGTGAGCATCCAGCACTTTGCAAAATCTGTTCCCTAAGAAACAGTTTCCAGACTAAACCCACATACATCTCTCCCCTTGCCCAACTGTGCATGCTGCACCCTAGGAAGAGCATTGCCTGTTCTTGTGACCATTCAAGGGAGGATTTGAGAAGCTCAAAGATAAGCACAAGGACTCAGGGTGTGGTTGCAGAGTGGTTTAAGTTGATGTAATTTGCAGTGACTGCAGTCCCACCCTCCTCCATGTGTTCCTACCCCTTCCCTTGAGCCAACTCCTTTCATTTTTCTTCATCTGAATCACCTCCCAAAACCTGCTCTTTGGCCCAAAAGCGGAGGCAGGATCCTCTGGCTGGGGGCCGGATCAGAGCAGTCTTGACTTAGACTTAAGCATTCAAGAGACTGCCTTCCTTCTGCCTCTCCATGAAAGCCTGCTCCTTTTTGGGATCTTCCTCTGGCATCAGGGGAAACTGGCTTCTTGAAAACGTAATGGGAAAATCTGAGAAATAACAAATCTGCTGGGATTTTCTTTTGTTACATCCTAAACATAAAATTAGTTGTGTCACCCAGAAATAGAAGTTGTGGAAAAAGAAATAAAAATACATCCGTTCCTACATATGCAAACAATGCTCTAAGTGAGATTTAGCATGTGGCTCCTTTGGGAGCCCTCCGCAGTGCTCTGTGAGGACCCAGATCAGCTGGCATGGGGAGGTGTAACTTGTCAGCGCAGTTATTTTTCATCCCAGGCATTGGGGAAGCATGGGAGAGCCTTGCCCCTCAAGCAGGGAGTAGAAGAGCCCAGAGGGTCCTGAGGCTCCGGTGGGACCTGCTCCTCCATCCCTGCAGTCAGGGCCCCACTCAGAGCCACAGCCAAGGCCTGCGGACAGTGCACAGAGCCTCGGGGAGGGGGAAAGGGATTCTCATCTGCAGCTCAGCTGGCTTGCAGAGCACTTCCTCAGGGGAAGAAGTGCTGCTCTGTTGGCATCCCTTGGAGATCAAGGGGAGCTGATGGAAACGAGCTGGCTTAAGGCAGGCTAATTTGCATGCCTGTTTTATAACATTTGCAAGTATTGATGTTGGAAGGGGAAAAGCCCAAAAAACCCTCAACCACTGCAGAATCATAGCTGTGGCAATGCACAGTTCTACCCCATCTTTAGCCAGCAAAGATTTGCCTGGACTGACAGGCTGTTCTTCCTCCCCTGAAAGGGCAGCCTGAGCAGGAGGTTGGAGGAGCCCAGGGCAAAGGAGGTTCAGCTTCTTCCTTCCTCAAAGAAAGGATGTTTCTGTCCCATTTTCCTCTCAGCATGTGGGAGGGATGCTCTGAGGCTCTTACAAGTCATTGATCCCTTTTTAAATGAGCCAGAGCACTGCAGTGTGACCCGCAGAGCAGCAACCACAACTCAGGAAATTCAAATCAGCTTTATTCTGTTCTGAGATATCTGCTAAACAGAAGCAAAGCACTGAGAATCAGCACAGAACTGGGGACCGACAGGAATTGTTTGACAGTGCTGCCAGGGAAATCTGAATGGCCTACAGGGAAGCCTGGCTGAACAGAAAACAGCCAGTGTTGCCACAGTGTTAATTGCTGACATCCTGAGATGACATCTTAGTTGGGATCCATTCTCAGCAACTCTGAACAGAAAGTACAGCTGCTGCTGCCAGGGCTGGGTTTAGGCCTCAACCAATTCCCACAAGAGACAGCCACATTGATTCCCACAATGCAGGCTCCAAACAAACTCTGCTTGCTTCCCAGGCAGGCAACATGCTTGCTGGCTCCTGAGAAAGTTGTCCATTTTCTCTGCCTGCTCCCTCCCTCCCCTCCACCTCTCTTCCACTTCTACCTTTCTGGTCTCACACACCCCATACCACCACCAAGAAAACGCCAAGCGAACAACAGTTTCTCCTTTCCCCACTAATTAGGGCAGGAGGCACATGACACGGCTGAATCCAGCCTGGCACAGACTTGCTCCCTGTGCTCAGCAAAGCCTCTTTGCAGGACTCAGCAGTGGGTTTTGCCCTGTGAATCCCTGGAGGCTGCAGCACCAGAGCAGGAAGGAGGTGTGCACACACACACCCACCTGGACATATGCACTTCTGCAAGGGCAAGAGAGAACAGAAACAGGAATGTCTTCAATGTGAGGAAGTCCGGAAGGACCACAGACATAGCAGTTTCCAGCAGCAGGACACACTGGTGAGGCAGAGATACTCTTCATTTGCCTTAACTTGCCTTGGCTGACTCAGATTCCAGTAAGCTAAGCTATTTTTCACTTACAGTAAATTGAAGAAAACCCTGTTATCATTAAGAATCACCAGTGTGCAGACAACAGAAACACCTCCAGGAGGGGAGAGGGCAAAGTTCTGAAGAGCCTAAAAACTTTATGGGACTTGCAGTTGTATTAGCTCCCATACTGTGGAATATTTTTTTTGGTGTTTCTCAGACTGGGGTTATTTTAGACAAACAAATCCTTAAAAACAGTAAAAGTAGAATTTGGTTTTGTTGTTAAGCCTTCAAAATAAAAGATCTTGTGAGGCAACTGAGGGTAATCAGATGCAGACATGCAGACCATAAGCAAACGCAATAGCTTGTATGAAACGTGCACATATGCACGTGCCCTACCAGGCTGAGCCATAAGTTCTCAGTTAAAGGCAAGTACTCAGTGATTCACTGAGACATGACCAGCACCACACTGGATGTGCCTGGGACCCATGCACTCTAGTTCCACAGCTCTGCTGAAGGGATGCAGAACTGCCTCCCAAATACGAGGGTCAGCAGAAGTCCACAGGACACTAACCTCTTCATTGAGGTCCTATTCTGGTCTTTAAATTTCAGAAATTAACTTGAACTCAGAAGAAGAAGGTTTAATATATCTTCTTGCACGGATTATTAATAACTGCATGAGATACTTTTGGCTTCCCATTATTTCTCAGACCACACTAACTAACTACTTGGCCTCAAGTGACATCCTACAGAAATGAGCTACACTGTCACGTTTGCTGTGAAAAAACAGTGCTTAGTTGGTTTTGAGTTTTCTGTATATTATATCTCCTCAGGTTTGCATATAAAAGAAAGAAGGAATTTCTTGATGCTCCATTTCTAAATCTTGTATTGTTCAATGTTCTTTTATCCTCTTCTATTTTCCTCCCTTCTAAAAAATCTAGTCCAAATCTTAACAATTTGTCTCATATAGAAGATTCTGCTTTCCTGGTTTCCCTTCTCTAACTTTTTCCCTAGAGCTGCCATCCACCTGGGCCTGGACATGTGCCCTCTTGAACCACCTCTGAGAGGGCAAAGAGTTTCTAAGACATTTCTGGGATTATTGCAAACATTAGGAGATCCAAGAAACTTTATAGCAAATAATAGAACTGTTGTATGCCATTAAACCAATTCTCCCTGGCTACTACAAAAGACATGACATTTTATAAACTAAAGACATACTTGCAGATGAGGGTCAATCTCGAATATTGTCTCTCCTCTTCGCATATCTGTTATCAACCAGGGGCCTCCAGCTCTAGAACGAAAGACAGACAGGTAATAAACCCAACAAGTCCTTTAGCTAGATCTCCCCAGCATGGTCCTCAAAGTGGACCTGTACTGGAAAGAAGCACAAGATAAGAGTTTAAAACAAGTTTAGAAATCTCTCTATGCTGTGTGTACATCCCGTAGCATGCATTTGCCTTTTACTTAATAAAAGCCCTCCATGACCTAGCAGTTAATCTCCTTACCACCACCAAGACTTGAGGAGCAGTCGGGACTGACACAGACTATCATACCCTGTGCAGGCCCACTTACTCATGGAAGACTGAGGTGGGTTTTAATCTTACAGCTAACTGAACTGGGACTGAGAAGTCCAGTGTAGCCTGGGTCTAAGAAAGATGGGCAAGACATGGGGTCAAGATTTACACCTCTATTATGTATCTAAAGAAATAGCAAGGTCCCAGTGGGGCTGCACTTTTTGCTGAGATAAGTAGTCATGTTCAGTACCACAAAAAGCTTAGTGCCCTGATAAATACCCTCACAACAGATGTGTTGCTCAGCTGGTACTTAACGGCCAAGTACTCAGGTGGTTTAGGGAAATCTTTGTTTTCATTAGCAATAAAAGTCAGAAGGGTCAAGATGTTTCCCAACAAAGTTGATAGAAAACAGATTACAGGAAAGATGAACTACTTGGACACTTCACTTTGGGTCACAGTGCAGGCAGAATGCAGAACTCAGCCTTCCTTAGACGGTGCTTTTCATTTGAAGTCTTTTGGGATTGCCATAAAAAATTTCATTTTTTTATGAGATACTTTGTTATTGCAGTCAAAAGCCCCCTCCTCTAGCCTAGTCTGTGTCATTCCTAAAGCACTTGGAGTGGGTACAATAAAAGTTAATATTTTATAGCTCCTCAGATGCATCGATAGCCACTCCTTTCACATCTCTTTGGAAGCTGTGAATTATTAACCGCAGAGTGTGGCCTGCTTCAGTTCCTCACTGGGATGCAAGAGACTTTTACACTGATTCCACAGCAATGCTTTAGTAGTTTGCAGCTTTGCCTTCAAATCCTGAACATTTGGGTCTCATTTTATCCTTGGAAAGGTACTTGTACTAGAGCACAAAAGCCAAAACCCAACATGAGAACAGACTGAGAGGGGTGCTATATCTGTACTGACTGAGAGGAGCCAAGGGAGCTGCAGGCAGTGTTTATTGTCTTGGGGACCCAGAAACAAAGCTTGCAGCTGGACAAATTCACTCTGCTCTAGGGCATTTGCATGAATTATCTGCACTTGTGCCTAAAAGGGAAAAGTTCAAGTTTAAGAAGTCCAGCTCTTCCAAATAATCAATCAATTCAAGGCTATTGTGACACTAGAGAATGTACTATTGTGCCCAGAAACACATATTCAGAAAAATTTTGTTTAAAAAACCAAGTCTTTTGAGCTACAATCACATGGCAATAACTTCCACTAAATATAAAAATATTTAAACAAAACACCTGCAGGCCAAAAAAGTTTAGCTGAAACCTGGCAGCAAATAAAGCATCAACATATCATTTACCATGTAAAAACCCATCTCTTCCTCAACCCAACAACATCTTTGTTTTGCCGTGGGAGAAATAACAATGAACTTCACTTGCATGAGTGCTCCTCCTGTTGCTAATGAGCACACCAAGAGTGGGGCCAGTTTGAGAGCGACTTTCTCACTTTCAGACAGTGTCCAAGCTTTGTAAGCCAGACCCTCTCCTTCCTTTCTTTTGAACTACACAGAGAGGTCACCAGTAACAGTTATCCCAGCTCTTTCAGGAAGAACCAATGAGAAAACCCTGCAGGCATAAGAGGAAGGAAATTAAGCTTTCAAGACCTCATTCTATTCCACCCTGAACATGTGGACTTCCACATGCATTAATGTGCCATCTATGTGTCTGTGTGTGAGAACAGATTTGCAGTAAATTCCCATCTCTTGTTATAGCACAGACTAAGTAAGTTCCATCATTAAGTTAAAGATTGCTAACAAAACCAAACAACTGAATTGTTCTCTATGGAAATGCTCCTCTCTTTGGGCTATATGACCACTTACACCGGGACAGTCCGAAGCAGTTCCAAGATCCCTTGACCATTCCACTGCTGAGCTGCATGCAGTTCCTCAGTGCAAACCCCAACAATCTGGAATAAATAAAAACACATACTAAACTGGATGGAAACTGTGCAAGAATTGTAGAGAAAATGTACCACCTGGTACTGGATCAAACAGTGCAGATACAGAGAAGCACCATTTCTTTAATCTAACTAGATGTTCTAGGATGAATGGAGCCTGAGACAGCACTGGAATTCTGCCATTCTTTATGTTCTCTCTCTGCTTACCACATGAGGTGTCCTTGTCACATAACATTTAATCTTGCACAATGTGTGTGAACTTAACTACGAGGAGGCACTGGTGACAAGTCAGGATTTATACATGACTCTGCTCTGACTTTTCAACCTAGTCCACACAGGATAAGACTAGCCAAAAAGGTTAGGGTCTGAGCACATGCAAACACTGCTCTGTCAGCCAGCTGCTGGAGGTAAACGCAATACTGCATGAGCAATTTCAACCAGGCAAGGGACTTGCTGCCACAAGGGATTGCTTTGGTGCTCATAAAATCCTTAACCAACTCAGTTTGCTGATGTTACATCTTACACAGCGCCATAAAGTAAAGCTGCTTACACACCACATAATCCACTTGTCACTGCAGGCAACTGCAGATTTCTGCCTTCCTGTAGAAGGCAAGATGTGTTTGCTTTTCAGGATAGGAGCTGCAACACTGAGCAATACCAGATGTCTCTCTCAGAGCAGCTGAGATAAACCACTTCAAATGAAGGGGTAAAACAGCCTCAGTTGATAGGGGAAGGCAGTTTCTTCCTGCTATATCAACCTCTGGCTTATGCCTTTGAGCACAGAGATTCACTCCTTGGGATGAAAAATTATTTTAGTCATGGCCTTCTATTTTCTTGCTCAATATTCCAAACATATTCCAACAATACTAAATTTTTGGTCAAAATCTGTTCAACTGATATTTTATCAGAAAAGAGGAAATCAAAAATCAAGTTCTGAAGAGCAGCAAGCAGCAGTGCATGACATGCCTCTGCTGCAAGCATGTATCTGCACTGATACAGATCTGTGTAAAAAACCAACAGTGTCAGCACATACACAGTCCTGCACACCCTACCTCCCCTGCCCCTCGCAGAGCTCACTTTCTCAGAGCCCAGCCCTTGGAGATGCACTTCATCCCCACCCATTTCTCAGGCTTCCTCCATCAACAGCCTGAATCACCCTTGCTTCAGGACACCCCTCCCTGGGCCTTCACTCACTAATTACATACAAACAACAAGACTCTAAACAGGAAACTATCTTGTGTTCATTCTTTGCTTTTTGCAATCATTTATCCTCATGGGTCAAAATAAGTCCATAACAACAAGCATCAAACAAAGAGGAACACCAAGTCAACTGTATGTGTTGGGGAAGATTAGCGGCCAAGAGCCTCAGGATGCAGCAAGTTGACTGTTCTTTGATCCAAGACAGCTGGGCACTGAAGAAGAGATGAGGACTAATTCAGTACTAACTGGAGAGTCAGCCAGGAACTGCCCTGCTTAGCTTGGCTCTCTGCCTCTCCTTCCAGGTCCCACAACTCACCTTTCACTAATTAATCCCACACCCACCTCTTTCTTGTTGATAAAACACAGACTTTTGGGCACCTCAGAAAACTCAGGAAAGGCTCTGCCCTTGCACAGCAGTTACCTTGTGCAGGTTTGTGGTAATGGAGCTTCCCCTTACATGTTGCAACTGCAGCCAAAGATGAAGGGGAGCAACTTGAAGCTTAAATTGTAAATACAGACACTTGCATTTTCCCGCAGGATGGAAATTTTCCATGGAGCAGGCAGAAATCAGCAGTTGGCATAAACTATGCCAGCTCTTCCACTAAATTTATTAGCTCTATATGCAATTTAAAAATATCCAAAGCAGCCCATATCTAAGAGACATCGCTGAGAAGAAGGACTTCAGGAAAGCAAGCAAACCTGTTTGACCACAGAAGCTCCCTACACTCAGCAAGGATAGATCACGAGGGATTTTTTAAACGTTTCATTTGCCAAGCAAACCTGAACCTTCTTAAATGGTAGATCAATACAGGAAAACTCACTTAGTTTCTAAAGATTTTTTGTGTCAATGCTGCAAGACACATTTCTGTCATTAAGTACTGTGAAAGCAGCTCCGAGTCCTGCTCCAAACTGTTCTTTTTCTGGAACTCAAACCAGTGGATCACTTACCGATACTACTGTAGAATTAATTAGAATTTATCTTTACATTCACTTTTAAAAGTGTTTCTCTCAACACTTTTTCCTATTATCATGTTTGAAATTTCAGAGCAGTAATGTAATATTCAACTCCAGGTCTGTTTTGAGATGTAAATCTTTTTTCCATTGGGTAGACCCCTGTCTTGAGAACTGCATGTGTCATTGTCCAGTCCTGGTAAAATGCTTACTGAACACCTCCAGAGTAACAACTCAAAGATGAGATCCACAGACATCAAATAAAGAAGAAAAATGGAAGACAGGATAATAAATATCTGACTTATCAAAGCTAAACGCAATGTTAGCTGCACTCCATGTCCAGGAGGTGGCAGTCAGAGCCACTGTGGCTGGGCCATACCTGTAGGAATGTAACGACCCCAAAAGGAGTCTGCACCGGCTGCATCTGAGGGTCTTCTGTCAGTAACATATGCTGGATTCTAGATTCACTGTTGTCCAGGGGGCTGTGCCATGATACATGGTCACCGCTGCAAAAGGTGTTTTCTGCAAGGAAGAGAAGCAAGAAATATTTAGTCTGTGAAGTTTGCTAGAATATTCCTTCTGCTGGCATCTGCTCCTGCCTGCTGTCAGGCAGGGACCTCTGGCCTGGACCAGGACAGTTACTGGTAGTATTCACAGTGACTGCCTCCAGCCAGCTCTGCTGAGTCTCTGAGCCACCTGAAGCATGAATGGAGTCTCACTGAGCCATCTGAATTCAAGCACTGACTTTAAAATTGCCCACTCCTGAGTCCCATGGCAAAAAAATTGTGTCTCGCCTTGAGATTTACCCCAACACAGGAATAGCAACATATAAATTAGCCTGTCTTTCATTACTATTAGTCTGCTTTTGTGAGAGGGAATTAGCCTGCCTCTCATTTATGATTAGTCTCCTTTTGTGAGAGGGAACAGAGTAAGCAGGCTAGACTGCATGCCTATGGGATGGCAATTCATACTTAATTTGCAGTTCTGATTTGCCACAAAATATTCTGAAATGTGCATTAAACACACATAATACTCCGCTATGTCTAATCAAAATCCACAGTCTGCTGCCCAACTTGTGATGGCCTGAGTCAAAGTCACTGTTTTTCCCAATGGTCTGGTGGCTCTGGTGCAGAATTATAATGAATATATTCCTTCTTTCCCAAACAATGAGAAAACCAGTAGGGTATAAATTTTACTCTATGTCAGAATAGATTGCAACAAAACAAAGACCCAGAAATTGTCCTTCCTTCTTTGTGAATGTAAGCATTCCTTTCTTTTCCTCCTCTCCTACTTAAACAAAACCCCAGATAATCCCATGTTCCACAGCCAGTGCATGCCAGAAGGCACACCAGAACCCTTCTGTATGATGCTGCCCTGTCACAGGAAAGGCTAATGCTTGCTTCCTGAGTGAACTAGAAAACAACCAGCCATGACCATATTCACATCAATTAAAGCTCCATTTGCACACAGTTCCTAGAGCATGTGTGCAGTAATGCTGCCTAGCTGACTGCCTTGCTCTTGGATCTTGTGCTTGTCACACTCCAAGTAAAGCTTTCAGAGCATATACAAATAAACAGCCTGGAATCCATACTCTGCCCTCTGACGTAAGTGCAATGTTCCAGGGATGAACGGAGTTCTGCCTGCCTGCTTCCAAATCAGTGGCAGGCACAGTGCCCTCTCCCTGACCAAACTCATCAACGAAGGCAGTCTGGGCTGCTGTCCTCGCTGTGGTCTCCTCAAGGCCACATTTAGAGGACAGTAGGAAAGGAGGCCTTGCCCACTGCAGGAGGACTAGGACTTGCCCTGCAGACTGGAAAATGTTAGTGCATACTCGAGCTGCTGTCTGTCGAGATTGGAGCACCTCATATGCTACAAAGCAGGATGTAATTCAGAGAAGTGTTCTCCTCTGCCCTGCAGCTATGAGCAAACATGGTCCTGGATCTTCACCTAACCTTCCCAGATCACCTTCCAAATACATGTCAGTAGGACATCTCCTAAATGTCTATAGGGCTTATCTGAGAATCCTTGAACATGGCAGCTCCTGCAGCAGCAAGAGAGAAACAGCATTTGCCTGTAATTGCAGCTTTATTCCCTGTGTCATTAACAAACAACAGATGCTGAGGAATTGGGTGCTTGCACGCCACTCACTGTGCATCAGCACCACCACGACTGTGTGCACATACTCGAGCAAGGGCAGGATGCTTCGAGGGAGCCCTCAGCAGCAGGCAGGTGAAGTGATGAGAGTTCTCTCGGAGCTGCTGTGGTTAAAAACACTCGCAGCGCCTCCCTGGCAAACCAACTCCTGCTCGCCCACTCCCGGGAGGAATGCAGCGCGTCCTGAGCAACTCGGAGTGTCTCCACCAGGTGTCCCCATTGGTGCGGGTTTGAACATTGATCATAGTATGTTTTTTTAGATGGTTTTCCTGGACGGCTCATTTGATTAAGAATTAAAATAAACTCTAAATACCATAAGGAACTTGGCCTGAAAAACGAGACATGTAACAGAAGTGTTGCGATAAGTAAGGGAATGTTTTCCTTAGTTAAAATTAGGAAAGCAAGAAAGCTGCTCGAACGCGAGTTTATTGTTATGTACACTAAATTACACGCCTTCAGCTCTGCCATTGAAAGGTCTGGTTCAGATATTACTTTACTTTTAGAGTTGAGGAAATATAGGCAAATAAAAAACATGCTTTTTTTTTTTTTAGTATCAAAACCAGACTAAAGAAATGGCACTTAGAATGTTGCAAAGAATCTTGTGATATTTTCCAAGTTAGGCAAAATGTGGCTGATTAATTTTTTTTTTAAATGATAAAAGCCTCTCAGTCACAGTTTTCAGGAATGAAACAAAGCCACAAAGAGCTTATTCTTGGGTCCTGTCTTTATACCACAACATTTTGCCCATCAAATGCTCACACAATTCTATGCTGATCGATCGCTGCGTTTCACTGTCGGTGCTGCCTCTCCTGGGAAAGCCCAGCCCGTTTAGAGCAGGTTTTCAAATGCAAATGCCTCTGCTGGAAACCCACCTGTTTGTGTCCATGTGAACGCAGAACACTTACAAAATCTCCCTCTGCCTTGCATGCACACGAACACCACAAAATTCACACTGACTACTCAATTAAATCACACACAAAAAAAAATCTGCAAGTAACATGAAGCCAAGTAAAAACCTGTGAGACTGCAAGAAATTTGGAACTACAGACTGAAACTCAGCTTCCCACTTGCTGCAGTGTCACCCATGTGGAATGTACGATCAGCTCTTGTACAAAGACAGCACTGAGAAGAGCCTGAATTGCAGGACTTGTAGCCACAGAAATTAAATCACAGAAAGAACCACATTCTATTGCCTCGTGCTGGAAACAGGGATGAGCATCCTCCCTTCCCACCTTTCACACTCATGTTTTCAAAACAGGACAATCAAAATATTTCTAAGTATTGAAGTTTTAAACAATGTTTTAGCCACAAAATCCTAAAGTTTTCCTAGATGATTCCTCCAAAGTAAAGTTATAACTAAATTTGTGGCTTTCAAAAAAGTTGAATTAGAACCTAAAACATCCGGATAAATCCTCAGTCATCACAGCACAGACGGATGTGGAAAGGCCTTCTGTGGTTTTTGCACCTTTCCATATTTTGCAGTGCTGTCAATAGCACAGTGCACAACCTGCCTTTCATCCACAACGTGTATCACGTGCTAGGATTTGTGACAGGAATGTAAGTATTTCCATAACACCAAGAGGTGAGTAGGCACAGGACACATGCACTCAGGTACATGAGGAGCACAAACACCTTACAAGGAGCAACACACTCAGCCAGATAGGGCTAAAGACAGCTCCTTCTGTATCCAACAATGCATCCCTGCATCTCCCATACCTAACTGGAAAAACAGCCTGCCATCTCTCAACTAATTTCCAAGATCTGTGCTTTGCACTGCTATGACTCAAGCACCTGTGGCACAGTTCCTTACTGGTTTTGAGAAGGGACTGAAGCACAATGGATGTTACAGAAGTCCTTTCGCACTGTATTTATTAATGAGACAAAATGCATTTGCATCTAGCATCCAGGAAAAGCTGAGATGGCTTTCAGTGGTAGCTGTGATATATCATGGGCTTCTACTGAACAAGTACCTTCTCTACTGTTCTAAAAAGGCAACAATCAGTCTGGGATCAGCAAATGCTGGGACTGGGGTGTCATTTGCTGCTGCAGACTTCTGCAGCCTTCTGCCTTTTTGAACTTACCTGACTCCATGGCAAAGCCAAAAAGAGATGTGACATGTCCAGGGAAATAATTCTATGCAACTGGAAGAGTTTGGCGTATTCTTCTAATAAATAGCAAGCCTCAAACCAGCTGGTGTGTTCCTGTGCTCAGGAGTAAGCTTGGGGAAGACTTCAATGAGCAAGAGAACTAGGGATGCTTTCTTCTCTGTAGATCGACCTGTCATTGCCTAAGGAGCGAGGAGCTCTGACTGAAGCTTTTACTGCACCTATGGCATGCACAGGAGGACACTATCTAGGCTCAATTCTAAGGTCCAGTTGGCATATCTCCACTCTTCTCCACAGCAGGGGCAATTGTTAGCATTTTTACTCACCTGCTCATTTTTACAGTCCCTTAAAACCCAACTCCCTCCAAGAGCCCTATCACTCTGTTACATCTGACACTGGCCAACAGGTTCAAACACTGTTAGGGCAGCACAGTCAGCCTCGTAGGCATGAGAACACCATGACTGCATAAGCCTCATTCCTTTAGGTGAGCACAGCAACAACGACAGACATCAGAAAAAGTACTAGGACATGACTAGGGAATTGTCAAATCCATAGGACAGGTGGCAAGGGACAGATATGATCTAGCCAACCACAGGAGAAATAAAATAGAAAAAGAACAGAAAAAAAAAGTGTCAGAAAATGAAATTGGAATTGTTTTAGTGTATGGATAAATTGGCAAATACTCAGGCATACACTAAGGCTCTGAGTTACTGCACAAAAGCTGACTGCTGCTGAATACTTCTGTCTCATGGTAAACCTCAGGTGATTACATGATCCCTCCACGGAAGGAAGAGATAAGCTACCTGATCTGCTCCAGGATAAATTCATACTCTTCAGCAGTTTCCATGGGACCACGGGATATGTTGTAAATACACAGGCTTGCTCACAGCACCCGCTGGGACACTCGCACCCTGCCCGCTGGGAGGGGGCACTAACAAGCCTTAAACCTAACACAGCAAGGTGATCCATCCTCAGTTGAAAAACTACTGATCTATCATTTCCTTCCTTCCTTCCTTCCTTCCTTCCTTCCTTCCTTCCTTCCTTCCTTCCTTCCTTCCTTCCTTCCTTCCTTCCTTCCTTCCTTCCTTCCTTCCTTCCTTCCTTCCTTCCTTCCTTCCTTCCTTCCTTCCTTCCTTCCTTCCTTCAATGCTTCATAGGGAGGTATTGATTTAACAAAGTCTCAACAAGGAAATCATTAAAACATTTAATTTCAAACTTACTATAAATTATTTAATAATTTATAGGAGCAATTCTGAAGCCTCT